ATATTTGTGAAAAAATATAAAAAAAAATTTTTATGCATCTCTATTTGTTTTCAACAGAAATTTTCCTTCAAAGTTTTATGTACATAATTTGCAAACATAACCGAAAAAAAGCATAAACATGTTCTAGAGACATATACATATATATGTATGTATACACTCCCTCGTCAAAGCTGAGTACATGACATAAGCTTCTGGGATGGACTCCTCTCCATATTTTTTTCAAGGAAACAGCAGCCGCGAGGGCGCTACAGTCCGACTATTTAACGACGGCTTTTTCAGAGAGAAGCTTCATGCAGGTATTCCTGGGATGATATCAGTGTTGGAAATATGCGGAATCTCTGATTCCATAAGTAAAAAGATCTGATTTGGCTGAAAGTTCTAAGTTATAATTCCCGATAGCGAAGATTTGGCGAATGGGCTCCCTGCAAGGAGGGAGCATAATTTTGGACCTTGCACCAAACTTACAATTCCCATGGGCAAATGGCCCACGGTGTTTCAGACTGAAATAGTCGCAATTTTAAACTGCGCAAAATTAAACCTTGATAAGCCAAGAAGCAATCCGTGCCCATTGCAACAGGACTATTAAATCCAACCTGGTTAGAGACCGCTTTGACATGCTAAAAATTTTAGTATCAAAAAACAGGTGGTGAGTACCAGACTATTATGGAATCGAAGGCAATGAGGTCGCCTTTTTGGGACTTGAACCATTCTGTAGTCTCAGTTGGTACTCCTCGATAGCCATAATTACTGAGTGGGGGTACACTCTGAACGTAGTAAGTACTGAGGAGCGGTGGGACCGCCCTTTCAACGAAAATGAATAGGTTTGAGCAAAGAGTCGGAATGCCGGCTCTGCCTCGAAGATGATGAAGCTTTAAAGCATATTCTATTCACTATCCGCCTTTGGCTAGTCAAAGATTAAAAGGCTCTTTTAGGATTCATTAGGAAGGTATCTTGACCACACTGGGTTAGTGACTCTGTCTTTAAGATACACAAAAGATTTTTCAGGTCGCGGTGTCTCTTCTTCTGTTACATCCCAGATCTAATTAACTAACTACTGAACATGGGATGTACGCAACACGTTTTCAGCTCCTCAAAGAGGTTGTGATTTAAAATTTTTCCCGCACCCACATGTTTGCAAAGCGTAACGGATCATCGCATCATTAAGTACATACATAAATATTTCCGCAAACAAAAAGATCATACCAAATAGTGAATACCTTCTTTCGTTTCCAGTTTCCATTTGACAAATTAAAATAACGAATAGTTTTTTATTTCCGTCAAAAATGAAATTCACGGAGAAGCTCGCAACATTTTTAACACCAGAATGGCGGAGTCAATACATCCACTATGAGGTCAGTAGGTTGTCCCAGTGAACACGCTACCAATTAATACAAACGTTAACATTTTAGCAATTAAAAGAAATGATCGTAAGGGCGGTCGATAATGCGCCGACCGACCAATCTGATCTTCGTGCAGTTCAGTCCTACTATGCGGTCATCGATGATAAATTCTTTGA